GACCTCTCGCTCCAACAGGACCAGGCGGCCCGCTTAGACGAGCGAGCTCGCCCTGATTCCCGGCCTGGGCGGCAGCATCACCGCCAGTCCCAAGGCTAAGTGCAATCTCAAGCACGAGGACGCGTTGACGAAGGCGGTCAACCTCAGGGCCCTGCGTCAACCCGCAGGAGAAGCACTCGGACGAGAGTAGCGTTCGGGAGGCGCCGAGTACTCGTACTCGTACGAGGGCACCTCCACCCCCTGCTTGACCGGAATGGAAAAGTCCACTACCACGTGGAGCCAATCCTCCAGTAGCAGCGGCGTCGCGGTAAGCGACAGCTTCTCGTGAAGTGGAGGGGTTTTGCCCACTCCGAGAACTCGTGTGAGCCGATTGAACGGCTTCTGATTGACTGCCCGAAGGCTGTCGCAATCTGGGAACAGAAGCGGCGGCAGCTTCATAAGTAGTCCAGGGCTTCTTGCCCAAACGGGGTACGGACGTTGACGACACTCCGTACCCGCGCTCATCGTGAGCGCTAGAAGCCGCGCGCTTCAGAATGTCCCTTGGCAGCATGCGCTTGCTAACCATGTGGGCAAACCGAACACGAAGATCACGCTGGTCCAGGATGCGGGACATCAGCTGATCTTCATGGAGTTCCCGTAACTCCCAGGGTGAGTAGTTGAGAGACTCCACCCAAGCCCAGAACATGTCCTCACAAGAACTCCAGTGGGTCAGTTCTCTGGAAGAACTTAGGGGTAGCCCCAAAGAGGGTGGAGACCACCCCGGTTCTCGGGCTTCTTACGACACGCTGTGAAGTCCTCAAGAGGGATACGGTGTGGCGCGAGAAGCACACACCGAGCCACCTCCAAGCTGTCAACAAACAACTGCTTTTTCTGGACAAGGGTACGTTTAAAAACATGTGGCCGCCAACAAGGCCACGGGAAGCGACGAGAAGCTCCAGAAAGAGGTCGTCCCCAGAGCTCTCCTCGGGAGGCCAATACCCTCTTGTGTTGATGGCAGCTCTCTGGCTGACGCGTGCCACCACCGAACCCCCACGCATACGCTGGGCAGCCTGGAATCCCTTCTGTTGCTGGTCGAGGTCATTCGAGACCTCCCGGGGCTCAGCGATAGCACCCTCCTCCTCCTCTTCTTCCTCCTTATCCTCCTCTTCATCCGAGGAGTCGAAGATACTCTGATAGATATGTTGAGTCTCCTTCTTCTCGCGGAGTGGAGACTTAGAGGCTGTACGTTTCTTTGAGGGCTTGGCGCCTTCGGTTTTAGCGGCCTTAGCACGCGCAAGACCCAAGCGAGAGACGTTTGCGAGGTTTCTCTTCCTCGTCGCCACCAGCTTTGAGAGAGCCCATAGCCTTGACGGTCGGGCTCTCAGAGCGCACCGACGTCCTGGGACTGTGATCACCGTGATCACTAGCGAGCGACTGCACGCTGTCGTCCTTTTCCTCGCTGGGCACTGGGCTGTGCCCTCCCGTAGAGCCCGCAGGAGCATTGCGCGTGCTCCCGGACTCGGCTTCGCCCTCACTGTCTGAGTCGAACTCACGTTCAGCGAACCGAGGGTTCGGACGGTTGTCTGGGGAGGCCGAGGGTGACGGACTGCGGCGCTTGCTCGTTCGCTTGCTCACAGCCGCGTCACCAGTAGAGCCAATCGCCTCGGAGGCGACCTTGGTCGCCTCCTGGAGGGTCGAGCCTTTGCCGTGAGGCTTAGTGCTCTTGGCTTGCGCCTAGCCTTGGAGCGTGTCTTCGCACCGCTCTTCGCAGTGCCACGGGGCATAGTAACGGTCGATGTGGAGACCAAGAAGAGGAGCGCACAGACTGCTGCTCGAGGCTATAACTGTAAAGTGAGCCTCGACCGCGCTCGCGCGCCAAGTTGATGTTTTTCGACTTTGAGAATGAAAGCTTGTGACGTACACTTCTTCACTCTGATTGGGCGCTAAACCGAACCTAAGTGGGGGAGGATGTAACGGGGTACGTAGCCCTAAGTGCGAACCCCTAGTTACATAAAGTGTGACACGCCACACTTCGGGATATTTGGTACAAGGTACCAAGGTCGTCCAAAGCCAACCATTGGCTGATGACATTGCTTTTCTGTAGGTGACTTATAGTTTGTATTTAACTCAAGCTTAGTCTACCTATTAATATACTTAGTTTACAAACTACCTTAAATTGGTCACTTCGCTCCCTTTCGGTAAAAGGGGACCTGTGAACTGCCGTTCACTAAGCGTTTGTATGCACTCGGAAGTCAACTTCCTCTAGCGCAAGGTGCTGCGTGACCCCGTCACATAGCCATTGCTTAGACCGCGCTTTTCGGCGTAAGAAAGCAGAAACGGCAGTTGTGCATACTAGTACTTGCTTGTGTATGCAGCTCGTGTGTCGGAGGCAGCGTGAGGGTGGCGACGGGTGTGTGGGATGTGGGTCGTTGCAGCTGGCACATTGTTGTTGGCGTTTGTGGCGTTTGCTATATGGCTAGGCCTGTGGTTTAGCTGGTGTTTGTATTGAGGTAACACTGCTGCGCCGTTGGTCTAATGGTTAGGATTCATCCCTCCCACGGATGAGGTCGGGGTTCGATTCCCCGGCGGCGCACACCTTGCTTCTTTCTGTGTTGCGCAACCTGTTTGGGGTAGTCTCCACCTCCGGTTGCTCGTTCAGTCACCTGGTGGCCTGTTGCTCGGAGCACCTTTTGTCACTCTTTGCTGATATCTATTGCACTCCTTTGCCGAACTGTGTGAATTGATAGCTGCATTCGATGGTCTAGTGGTGGTTCTGTGAGCGCCGCATTTAATAAAAGAATGTCACTCATCGGTCCCGCTGCTCGAACAATCTCTTGCCGAAGTTGCAGACCCAATATACGAGCCGGGTCCGAGTGAGTAGAGGGACTTCTCGCGCTTTAGCGCCCAATGGTGATCGATTCGTCCGAGCGTTGATAGGTTGCGAGTTGTCGTGTGATTCCAGCTGCCCATCGACCGATATAAAAATATAGCTACAACTGTGTTTGTTTGGTTGTCGCGTGCTGCATGCCTGGGTATGCGGTAGTAGAGCACGGCGGTGGTGTAGTGTTTGAAGGTGTGAAAGGCATGTGTGAGCTTGCTGTGTATATGTGGGTTTGGGTGTGAGTGTTTGGGGCTGTTCAGCGAGACGTTACGTGCACCGATGGGCTCATGTGTAGGATTCATCACTTCTAAGGATGAGGTCGGGGTTCGATTCCGCGACGGCGCAACTTTTGCCAGCTGTTACGGCAGATTGCACCACCTTTTACAGCCTCGACGCCTCCACGCACGTCCTACTGCATGAGGGCAACGCCTCCTTGACCTGCTGACCACCTAGCCATTGCTTAGACCGGATTTTCGGCGTAAGAAAGCAGAAACGGCAGTTGTGCATACTAGTACTTGCTTGTGTATGCAGCTCGTGTGTCGGAGGCAGCGTGAGGGTGGCGACGGGTGTGTGGGATGTGGGTCGTTGCAGCTGGCACATTGTTGTTGGCGTTTGTGGCGTTTGCTGTATGGCTAGGGTTGTGGTTTAGCTGGTGTTTGTATTGAGGTAACATCTAGTTTGTCTGCTGCGCCGTTGGTCTAATGGTTAGGATTCATCCCTCCCACGGATGAGGTCGGGGTTCGATTCCCCGGCGGCGCACACCTTGCTTCTTTCTGTGTTGCGCAACCTGTTTGGGGTAGTCTCCACCTCCGGTTGCTCGTTCAGTCACCTGGTGGCCTGTTGCTCGGAGCACCTTTTGTCACTCTTTGCTGATATCTATTGCACTCCTTTGCCGAACTGTGTGAATTTATAGCTGCATTCGATGGTCTAGTGGTGGTTCTGTGAGCGCCGCATTTAATAAAAGAATGTCGCTCATCGGTTCCGCTGCTCGAACAATCTCTTGCCGAAGTTGCAGACCCAATATACGAGCCGGGTCCGAGTGAGTAGAGGGACTTCTCGCGCTTTAGCGCCCAATGGTGATCGATTCGTCCGAGCGTTGATAGGTTGCGAGTTGTCGTGTGATTCCAGCTGCCCATCGACCGATATAAAAATATAGCTACAACTGTGTTTGATTGGCGCTGTTGTGCTGCATGCCTGGGTATGCGGTAGTAGAGCACGGCGGTGGTGTAGTGTTTGAAGGTGTGAAAGGCATGTGTGAGCTTGTTGTTTTTATGTGGGTTTGGTTGTGAGTGTTTGGGGCTGTTTAGCGAGACGTTACGTGCACCGTTGGTCTAATGGTTAGGATTCATCCCTTCCAAGGATGAGGTCGGGGTTCGATTCCCCGACGGCGCAACTTTTGCCAGCTGTTACGGCAGATTGCACCACCTTTTACAGCCTCGACGCCTCCACGCACGTCCTACTGCATGAGGGCAACGCCTCCTTGACCTGCTGACCACCTAGCCATTGCTTAGACCGGATTTTTGGCGTAAGAAAGCAGAAACGGCAGTTGTGCATACTAGTACTTGCTTGTGTATGCAGCTCGTGTGTCGGAGGCAGCGTGAGGGTGGCGACGGGTGTGTGGGATGTGGGTCGTTGCAGCTGGCACATTGTTGTTGGCGTTTGTGGCGTTTGCTGTATGGCTAGGGTTGTGGTTTAGCTGGTGTTTGTATTGAGGTAACATCTAGTTTGTCTGCTGCGCCGTTGGTCTAATGGTTAGGATTCATCCCTCCCACGGATGAGGTCGGGGTTCGATTCCCCGGCGGCGCACACCTTGCTTCTTTCTGTGTTGCGCAACCTGTTTGGGGTAGTCTCCACCTCCGGTTGCTCGTTCAGTCACCTGGTGGCCTGTTGCTCGGAGCACCTTTTGTCACTCTTTGCTGATATCTATTGCACTCCTTTGCCGAGCTGTGTGAGTTTATAGCTGCATTCGATGGTCTAGTGGTGGTTCTGTGAGCGCCGCATTTAATAAAAGAATGGCGCTCATCGGTCCCGCTGCTCGAACAATCTCTTGCCGAAGTTGCAGACCCAATATACGAGCCGGGTCCGAGTGAGTAGAGGGACTTCTCGCGCTTTAGCGCCCAATGGTGATCGATTCGTCCGAGCGTTGATAGGTTGCGAGTTGTCGTGTGATTCCAGCTGCCCATCGACCGATATAAAAATATAGCTACAACTGTGTTTGTTTGGCGCTGTTGTGCTGCGTGCCTGGGTATGCGGTAGTAGAGCACGGCGGTGGTGTAGTGTTTGAAGGTGTGAAAGGCATGTGTGAGCTTGTTGTTTTTATGTGGGTTTGGCTGTGAGTGTTTGGGGCTGTTTAGCGAGACGTTACGTGCACCGTTGGTCTAATGGTTAGGATTCATGATGAGGTCGGGGTTCGATTCCCCGACGGCGCAACTTTTGCCAGCTGTTACGGCAGATTGCACCACCTTTTACAGCCTCGACGCCTCCACGCACGTCCTACTGCATGTGGGCAACGCCTCCTTGACCTGCTGACCACCTAGCCATTGCTTAGACCGGATTTTCGGCGTAAGAAAGCAGAAACGACAGTTGTGCATACTAGTACTTGCTTGTGTATGCAGCTCGTGTGTCGGAGGCAGCGTGAGGGTTGCGACGGGTGTGTGGGATGTGGGTCGTTGCAGCTGGCACATTGTTGTTGGCGTTTGTGGCGTTTGCTGTATGGCTAGGGTTGTGGTTTAGCTGGTGTTTGTATTGAGGTAACATCTAGTTTGTCTGCTGCGCCGTTGGTCTAATGGTTAGGATTCATCCCTCCCACGGATGAGGTCGGGGTTCGATTCCCCGGCGGCGCACACCTTGCTTCTTTCTGTGTTGCGCAACCTGTTTGGGGTAGTCTTCACCTCCGGTTGCTCGTTCAGTCGCTTGGCGGCGTGTTGCTCGGAGCACCTTTTGTCACTCTTTGCTAATCTCCATTGCACTCCTTTGCAAAACTGTGTAAATTGATAGCTGCATTCGATGGTCTAGTGGTGGTTCTGTGAGCGCCGCTTTTAATAAAAGAATGTCGCTCATCGGTCCCGCTGCTCGAACAATCTCTTGCCGAAGATGCAGACCCAATATACGAGCCGGGTCCGAGTGGGTAGAGGGACTTCTCGCGCTTTAGCGCCCAATGGTGATCAATTCGTCCGAGTGCTACTACGTTGCGAGTTGTCGTGTGATTCCAGCCGCCCATCGACCGATACAAAAATATAGCTACAACTGTGTTTGTTTGGCGCTGTTGTGCTGCGTGCCTGGGTATGCGGTAGTAGAGCACGGCGGTGGTGTAGTGTTTGAAGGTGTGAAAGGCATGTGTGAGCTTGTTGTTTTTATGTGGGTTTGGCTGTGAGTGTTTGGGGCTGTTTAGCGAGACGTTACGTGCACCGTTGGTCTAATGGCTAGAATTCATCCCTTCCAAGGATGAGGTCGGGGTTCGATTCCCCGACGGCGCAACTTTTGCCAGCTGTTACGGCAGATTGCACCACCTTTTTACAGCCTCGACGCCTTCACGCACGTCCTACTGCATGAGGGCAACGCCTCCTTGACCTGCTGACCACCTAGCCATTGCTTAGACCGGCTTTTCGGCGTAAGAAAGCAGAAACGGCAGTTGTGCATACTAGTACTTGCTTCTCGTGTGTCGGAGGCAGCGTGAGGGTGGCGACGGGTGTGTGGGATGTGGGTCGTTGCAGCTGGCACATTGTTGTTGGCGTTTGTGGCGTTTGCTGTATGGCTAGGGTTGTGGTTTAGCTGGTGTTTGTATTGAGGTAACATCTAGTTTGTCTGCTGCGCCGTTGGTCTAATGGTTAGGATTCATCCCTCCCACGGATGAGGTCGGGGTTCGATTCCCCGGCGGCGCACACCTTGCTTCTTTCTGTGTTGCGCAACCTGTTTGGGGTAGTCTCCACCTCCGGTTGCTCGTTCAGTCACCTGGTGGCCTGTTGCTCGGAGCACCTTTTGTCACTCTTTGCTGATATCTATTGCACTCCTTTGCCGAGCTGTGTGAATTTATAGCTGCATTCGATGGTCTAGTGGTGGTTCTGTGAGCGCCGCATTTAATAAAAGAATGGCGCTCATCGGTCCCGCTGCTCGAACAATCTCTTGCCGAAGTTGCAGACCCAATATACGAGCCGGGTCCGAGTGAGTAGAGGGACTTCTCGCGCTTTAGCGCCCAATGGTGATCGATTCGTCCGAGCGTTGATAGGTTGCGAGTTGTCGTGTGATTCCAGCTGCCCATCGACCGATATAAAAATATAGCTACAACTGTGTTTGTTTGGCGCTGTTGTGCTGCGTGCCTGGGTATGCGGTAGTAGAGCACGGCGGTGGTGTAGTGTTTGAAGGTGTGAAAGGCATGTGTGAGCTTGTTGTTTTTATGTGGGTTTGGTTGTGAGTGTTTGGGGCTGTTTAGCGAGACGTTACGTGCACCGTTGGTCTAATGGTTAGGATTCATGATGAGGTCGGGGTTCGATTCCCCGACGGCGCAACTTTTGCCAGCTGTTACGGCAGATTGCACCACCTTTTTACAGCCTCGACGCCTCCACGCACGTCCTACTGCATGAGAACAACGCCTCCTTGACCTGCTGACCACCTAGCCATTGCTTAGACCGGATTTTCGGCGTAAGAAAGCAGAAACGGCAGTTGTGCATACTAGTACATGCAGCTCGTGTGTCGGAGGCAGCGTGAGGGTGGCGACGGGTGTGTGGGATGTGGGTCGTTGCAGCTGGCACATTGTTGTTGGCGTTTGGGCGTTTGTTGTATGACTAGGGTTGTGGTTTAGTTGGTGTTTGTATTGAGGTAACATCTAGTTTGTCTGCTGCGCCGTTGGTCTAATGGTTAGGATTCATCCCTCCCACGGATGAGGTCGGGGTTCGATTCCCCGGCGGCGCACACCTTGCTTCTTTCTGTGTTGCGCAACCTGTTCAAGGTAGTCTCCACCTCCGGTTGCTCGTTCAGTCACCTGGTGGCCTGTTGCTCGGAGCACCTTTTGTCACTCTTTGCTGATATCTATTGCACTCCTTTGCCGAGCTGTGTGAATTTATAGCTGCATTCGATGGTCTAGTGGTGGTTCTGTGAGCGCCGCATTTAATAAAAGAATGGCGCTCATCGGTCCCGCTGCTCGAACAATCTCTTGCCGAAGTTGCAGACCCAATATACGAGCCGGGTCCGAGTGAGTAGAGGGACTTCTCGCGCTTTAGCGCCCAATGGTGATCGATTCGTCCGAGCGTTGATAGGTTGCGAGTTGTCGTGTGATTCCAGCTGCCCATCGACCGATATAAAAATATAGCTACAACTGTGTTTGTTTGGCGCTGTTGTGCTGCATGCCT